TCAATACTATGCTCTCATGATAGCTGTGCAAAAAATCGCTAGTCACATACGAGTCAGAACCACCTATAATGGTCTGTACGACAAGACTATGCACCTAAATTGGATACAATGTGAGCATAGGGTGCGGGTGGTGACATTATATACAGGCTTGTGCCATATCTCTGGCTAATCACTAACACCGGGGTGCAGATTTATGAGCTCTATGCTTCTCAATTAGTCACAATCGTTATTCACATTCACAATTCATAAACTCACCTGGGCTTACCTGAGCGTCCACAGCACCACAATTATATATTATGCATCATATACAAATTCATATGCAGAATATAAATTTATATGCATGGCATTTCAAAGCATACTTTCATTTAAACACATTTTCTGAGAAAATATCAAGTATATAAGTATATACTGAAAACTAAAAGACCACTCACTAGTAAGTCTAACAGTCGTAGCCCCCGAGTTGCCCTTGACTGTGCTCGTCCTCGGGATAAGTCTCCCTTATATTCGAAACAACTATAAAAAGGTTAATTTAAAGCACATAACCAATACTAGCTATCAAATGGGGTGTTTGAATACCAACGTGATCTACACAATCTCACGAACATCCCCATATTTTTAGAAAAAATTTTTGACCACCCACGCGCTGGCCAAGGCACAGCCAGACGTGCCGCTCACGTGCGGGCACGTGCCAGGCACACTGACGGCGGCAATTAACGCCGTCAGGAATATTCCATCCAAAAACAAGCATATACCGTTAATTATTAATGGCGTCATCTAACGCCGTTAGCATATTCCGTCAAAATTGACGGAATATGCCCTTATCTTCTCCGACGAGTCGCCGGTTTCTGGATTTTATTTCAAAATCTTATATCTTCTTCATTTCTTAACCAAATTCTATGAAACTTGACCCATTTTGAAGATCTCACCAAGACGAATACAACCATACCTCAAGCCTTAAAACCACCAGAAACCCGCCAGAAAAAGCCTCGATATTCTAGCAAATCTTAAAACTCGTCGTTCTCAATAATCTGACATCCAAATTCTTGCAATGAACCACTCCAAGCCTCGTGATGACCTCCTTAAGCTACCTATAAGCTTGAAATCCAAAAAACACACGATTTTATGATTGCATGAATAGTGACATAAATCGGGTTAGGGTTTTCACTAGTTTTCGAAGAAGTTCTTACTTAAAAATGGTACCATTCAACTCATGAACCTCAGGAACACGATTGTGTCCTTTAAACCCTCGATCTGCAAACTTTCCACTAGTTTTGTTGTTAATATGTATGGGAGAAAGGAGAGAGAGTGAGTCCGAGGGAGAGAGCACAAGAGAGGAGAGAGAGAAATGTACTTTTTTGTGTGTGTGTGTGTGTGGTCCACGTGGGTCACCAACCAACCAAAGAAAACATTTCAAGTCCTAAGTGTTCCAAAACTTAGGAAAAATCTTAGAATTTGTCCAAATAAAACTTCACCCACATAACCACACAAAACGTCCAAGGGTAAATAAGTAATTTCACGCCGTCGAAATTATATATCTTGGGACGGGTTGTGACAGAAAATTACTTAAATTCATGGCCCCCTAAATTTGTAAAATAGAGTTAAAACCCTAAACCCCCTTAGTTTAGCGTTTTGTATTGTGGAGTTAATTAAATGAGAGTGTTGATGAAGGTTGGAAATTTATCCTCTCATATTCCTTTCCACCTAATTCACCAAGTTCGTGATCCGGACCGTTGAAATTTGATCCAACGTTATTATAACTTTTAAATGGGTCCCTTGTTTGTAGCCGTTGAATCAAATTTCAAAGGCCTGGATCACGAACTTGGTGGATTAGATGGAAAGGGATCCGAAAAGGATCCATTTCCAAGAAGGTCGCCTTTTCGTTACTCCTGGGAGGGATCTGGGGATGGAAGATGAAGACAGGTGGATGTTCTCCAAATTGTGTGGTCTTCTTGGTTGATTATTGAGTCTCCAATTGAGCAACTCCATTTTCTTAGTGGATATGTGTTTGAGACTTGAGAATAAATCCCACATTGATTGGGAAGAAGAGATTTTGTATGAGTTTATAAGAAATTTGGTCTATTCTGTATATTACTAACTAATTTTATGGTAGAACCTCAGCTACGCTAAGGGGACTCGCAAATGGAATTATGCATGGACTCTCTGCCATCTCATAGTTTAATATTAATTATTGTGCCAACATTATAAAGCATACATGGTACCATAATCTATGGAGAGTCCCACTTTTAAGTTTTGAGAGAGTTTCCATAGAACTTCTCTTTCTATCTTGTATAATGTGTGTGCGCTTTTCCCAAGTGAAGGTCGTGTGACTTCCGTAAATAAAAAGTTTGATACTAAATAAGTAATGATTCATTGCGAAGTTTAGCCCAATTTATTATCTTAATATTGTTGCAATAGAAGTTATATTATTAAAAATTAAAAAAAAATTAAAAAAAAACAAATCCTATTATTTAGAGTTTTAGACCATCCCACCGTTTGTATTGTCAAAAGTTTAAAATCAATTTATTTATACACTCCTTGTCACCTTCTCCCTTAACTTCGGAGTTCCGATGGAACCCGAAGCCAATGAGCTCCCAAATGGCCTCGTGCTAGGTAGGGATGAGAATATACATTTAAGGATCACTTCCCTAGGCGATGTGGGATGTTACAATGAAGTGTGCCGACGAGGACGTCGGGCCCCTAAGGGGGCTGGATTGTAATTTCCCACATCGCCTAGGGGAGTGATCCTTAAATGTATATTCCCATCCGTACCTAGCACGAGGTATTTTGGGAGCTAACTGGCTTCGGGTTCGGTAAGAACTCCGAAGTTAAGCGAGAAGGTGGCTAGAGCACTCCCATGATGGGTGACTCACTGGGAAGTTGCTCGTGAATTCCTAGAAACAAAATCGTGAAAGAATGGTAAGCCCAAAGCGGACAATATCGTGCTACAGTGGTGGAACGGGCCTAGGATGTGGTGGACCTGGGTAGGGATGTGACAAATGGTATCAGAGCCAATCCCTGGCCGGAAGTGTGCCAACGAGGACGTCGGGCCCCTAAGGGGGGTGGATTGTAACATCCCACATCACCTCGGGAAGTGATCCTTAAATGTATATTCTCATTTCTACCTAGCACGAGGCCTTTTGGGAGCTCACTGGCTTCAGGTTTCGTAGGAACTCTGAAGTTAAGCGAGAAAGAGGTCAGAGCACTCCCAGGATGGGTGACCCACTGGGAAGTTGCTCATGAGTTCCCAAAAATAAAATCGTGAGGGAATGGTAAGCCCAAAGCAGACAATATTTTGCTACAGTGGTGGAACGGGCCCGGGAAGTGGTCCGCCCTGGGCTGGGATGTGACATTCCTTGTATAAATATTTTTTTTGTATAAAATAATAAAAAAAGACCTAGATTAATGGTTATTTTACTTTTTAGCATGCACAAATTGAAACAATTCTCCTCTTCAATTAAGTCAATAAAACAAATTTCATCTCCAACTAAGGTCAATATCCCTTTCTTATTTATTGATGTCTTCTTAAAAATTGGTATAAAATAAACAAAAAGGACCTAGATTAATAGTTGTTTTACTTTTTAGCACGCACAAATTGAAACAATTCTCCTCTTCAATTAAGTCAATAAAACGAATTTCATCTCCAACAAATTTCAAAACTCTCTCTTCCCTAAAATTATTATAATCGTTTCGAACCTTTTTCCCTTCCTTAATAATAATAAATTAAAACAAAATCTTAATGTCGGAAATAATTGGGAGACCTAAAATAATACTAATATGCATTATTGGTGTATTACATTTCTATCACCAAGACCTTTCTTTTCTCTAAAGTTAAGAGTATTTGTGGGTGAATAAAAATGTAACTGTTTCAATTTTATAATAGTACCCTTTTGTGGCTAACTATCTTTCAGACACTTTAGGTTTAGACTGACTTGAAAAACAAGTCATGATATTTCAGTTCATTCATATTGCACTATAAGATTTTGTAGTCGTATTAGGCCATCTCCAACCGAAGAGTCCAAAGGGCCAGAAAGCTGAAAATAACCCAAAAACTGTCTCAAACCCAAGGCTAGACCAAATGGCTCGTGGGCCCCACGGGACAAAAAAGGGCCAAAGGGCCAACCGACTGGCCCAACTGCTGGCTGGGTCAGATTTTGACTCGGTTGGAGATGGTAAGAAATATGGCACAACACTGTTCATTAAAATATTAATTTCTTGGAGGGCTATAGGGCTCAAACGAGCCCACTGGCCCTCTTTCGGTTGGAGATGGCCTTAATTCATGTGTTTTTGGTTATCTGATCATTTAGTCCTTCATTTACAGTGGTGACACGAAGAGTGTGGAACCCCACTAGGGGCAACGTGAGAACTACATGTGCACCACATAGACGGAAAAAAAAAAAAAACTCATTATGAGTTTCGGCTTCTCCCAAATCGTTATTTATATCCTAAAACAACAACATATAACACAGTTTGGTCCCAACTATGAAAGTGTGGCTACTACGTCAATTTAGAAATAGGTCTCACGTATGTCACGTCATCAAGTTAACATAGATATAAATTGAAACTTCGTGGCCATTTTGAAAACCGCCTGAATCCTGGAGGGTGTAAAGTGTAGTTAGGCATATTTTCACACTTTTTATGTAGTCACGTATTTATTTTCAATTAGATATACATGTATGTATGATCCACACATGATAAAACCTCAACGTTAGAAGGCAAAACTTTATGATAAATGAAAAGATGACGACGGGAGGACATTAAGCCTAAGGGGGGGGGTGTATTCAATTGAGATTTTGAGAGAGTTTCAAGGAATTAATAATTCACATTAAGCCTAAGGGGGGGTGTATTCAATTGAGATTTTGAGAGAGTTTCAAGGAATTAATAATTCTAGGGGTATTCAATTAGGAATTTAAAAGATTTCATAAAAGTTTAGGTGTATTCAATTGAGAATTATGAACACTTTTTAAAAGTCTCTAATTATATTGTATCATGTAATATCATAAATGGGAGATTCACAACAAGAAAAGGGAAAAGGAAACTATAATCAACGGTCCGTGGAAGAGAGCAACATGTTGTTGCAACTACTTGTTGAGGCCATAAAAAATGGATGGCGTGATGCTAATGGCGTAATAAGCAAGCAGACTATAGAAGCCAAAATTGTTCCCGTGCTCAATGAAAAACTTAGGTGTCAAAAAACTCAAGATCATGTTAAGAACCGTGTGAACATGTTGAGGGGTCGATATCAATCAATATGTCAGCTTTTTAGGCATAGTTCCGGATTTGGTTGGTACCTCGTCACAAAGAAGTTCATAGCTAGTGATGAAGTATGGGAAGGCTTCCTTAGGGTGAGTTCTTTTTCTTATAGAATATATTGTTTGCATGATGATCTTTCATTTTTATTGATTTTGTATTTTAACATTTATTATGTTTTTCTTTTTTGCTAGTCCCACCCAAAGAGTCAAGGTGTTCACAAAGAGACATTTGCGAACTATGAAGATTTGATGACTGTATTTAGCAATGGAACATGTAAAGGAAATAACTCAATTGCATTGGGTGATGATATTGATGCCACAACATATATAGTCGATGAAAGTAGGCCAATCAAAGTAAACGAATTTCCTCCACCTGATGAGAGCTTTGAGCAACTTGATCCATTATTCCAAAATCCATCCTATTCATCATCTTTCCTAGATGCAAATTTGGAGGGTTCTGCTCCAACACCCATACAAAAGCTACTTCCAAGGAAAATATCTCGACTTGAGTCTGAGCTAAAATCAAATGGGACCACCACTCACATCGTTCTTATAGAAAAAGTTTCCCTTGGAATGGAGAAAAGAGAAAAAGATGGAGAAAAAAGGGAAAAGGAGAAAAAAGAAGAAGAGAAAAACAACAATGTTTGGGATGCTATCAAAGAGACTCCAAACTTGGATGCTCCCGTTCATTACAAAGAAATTTGGTTCAACATTTGGGAATGAAAACAGAGTTCTTGAAAATGACACCAGAAGAACGCTCAGAGGTGTTCGGTATCATCTCCAAGATTTTGCTGGTAATGATCGTGACCCCGTAAATGCAAATGAGTTGTCTAATCTTCGACATGCTTCCTTGAAAAATGTAGTGGAGAGGTTATTTGGTGTATTTAAATCTTGATTCACAATTTTTAAGTCAACACCTGCATTTCCAATCAAAACACAAGCAGAGTTAGTGTTAGCTTATGCAGGATTGCACAACTTTCTTCGTAAGGAGTGTCGTTTTGATGAATTTCCAATTGAATCAGAAGACAGGGAAATTACATTTTAACACCTCAACTTTGGGTCTCATAACAATCTCATACCTCATTTTTTAAACATTACAATATTATACATCAATTTACGAATTTGTTGCGATGTCATACCTCTGTCAATTTTTCTGTTAATTTTTTAGAAAAACTAATGAAAATGGCTTTAATACTTTTAACTTTAACAAAAAAAAATCATATACTAACTTTATTTAATGGTTACGACAAAACCCAAAATCAAATCAGCCTAACAACCTAATAAAACTGGCCCAAACAAAGTAATTTATCAAATTCTGATTTTACCCTTAACGTTAGTTTTTGCCCCTAATGTCAAACCCTCACTGTTTACTCTACCTCTCCTCAGACCTCGCTGGTGTTTGCTTCAACTCTGTGGTTTTCAACTCTATGGCTTTTTTCAACTCACAGCAAGAAAACCACGAAAACCTTACTTTTCAAGTCCATGGTTTTTTCTTATATCTCAAATTCTTTTTCTTTTTTTTGCTTGATCTTATGTTTGATGGAGATGTTGAATGCAGGGTGGCTCGATAAGGTTATCTTGGGTTTCTCCTCTAAAGCTTCATAAAACTCCTCAACATCACAAATTTTTTGAAATTGCTCGAAATCAATCGGCAACACCGCCATCATTCTTCATCTGCACCAAATGCCATTTCAATTACTAAAAGTGCAATTGATGGCCAATACCAAGTAATAGGTGTAATCAAATTATACATTTTATGTGGAATTAACTAATTTCATAGAAGGAGGAGGAGAGAGAAATGAGACCTGGGAAATGAGAGCTTGCCCCAGCTCGTGGAAAAGAAACCGATGAGTGAGTATGTGAGATTGAGTCATGGCTTGTCGTCGCCTAGCTCGATTTGAGCAAAGTAGAAGAGCCAGAGGTGTGTAAATTTCCCCACAAAACCCTTTATTTGTTTATGGCACACAGAGAATCAAGCTCATCAATTTGAAGGTTTTTTTTTTCTTTTCTATTGTTTTTAAAGTTCTAAAACCATTTGTCTTGAAATCTGTAAAACCCACCATCAATTTATTTTATATGATTTTCTTTGCAATTTCTCTGTTGTGGCTGTGATTTGACTTTTGAATCTCAAAAGATATGCTGATTACAACTTGATCAGTAAATTAGTCTTTAATTTTCTTTGGAATACGAAGTGTCTTCCTCTTTGTTTTTCCGTTGTTCTATTGGTAAGGATCCTCTAAAATATATTTTTTTTAAAGCAGTTTGAAGGAATTAAATTGTCCTCATTTGGTGTAAGAGATCTTAGTTTAGCAAATTGGCAGCAACCTGAAAGAGATTGCATGCCCCTCACTGCAGTGTAACTTGGACCGACTCATCCTATAAGAATTGCTTTACAAATTATCATATTTATAATCAAATATGTCCCTAGCTATACAAATTATGTGTTTTTGCAATTTGTAAAATTGAAAGCCCCTACATAAAAACCGGAAATTAATAGAGCATTCAAACAAATTAGTAAAAGATACACATCCTATACTTTAACATTAGAGCAAAAGTAATGTACTTATTTATCTAGCATATGAGCACGTTGCGTTCATAATTGATAAAACAATTAATCAAAATTCAAAAGAATCATATTATTAAGGGAAATTTGCATCAATCACCTGTTTAAGAAATAGTTATAATATCAATGTTCAGTTTCAGAAATGGTGTAGTTGCCATGTTTATTTTTAGAAATAGTGCACTACCCGTGTTTAGTTTCAAAAATAGTGCACTAGTTGTGTTTAGTTTCAGAAATAGTGCAGTAGCCATATTTAGTTTCAGAAATAGTGTAGTACTTGTGTTTAGTTTAAAAAATAGTGTAGTATATGTGTTTAGTTTCAGAAATAGTATAGTATCCATGTTTAGTTTCAGAAATAGTATAGTATCCATGTTTAGTTTCAAAAATAGTTTGTTCCATAAACAGTGTAGTACCGTGTTCAGTTTCATAAATAGTATAGTATCAATGTTTACTTTCAGAAATAATCTGTTTCATAAATAATGTAGTATCCATATTCAGTTTAAGAAATAGTTCATGCTCAGTTTAAGAAATAGTGATAGTACTAGTATTTAGTAAATAATGTAATATTTGTGTTCAGTTTAAGTGTGACATCCCACATCGCCCAGGGGAGTGGATCCTCTAAGCCTTATATGTATATTCTCATCTCTACCTAACACGAGGCCTTTTGGGAGCTCATTGGCTTCGGGGTTCTATCAGAACTCCGAAGTTAAGCGAGTTCCCAGAAACAAAACCGTGAGGGCGTGGTCGGGGCCCAAATCGGATAATATCGTGCTATGGTGGAGTCGAGCTCGGGATTTGGTGGGGGCCCGGGCCGGGATGTGACATTAAGAAATAGTAATAATATCAGTGTTTTGTTTAAAAAATAATGATAGTACCATATTCAGTTCTAGAAGTAGGGAATGTTTGCTAGTGTATTCATTTGATTGTCACATTCACTTTAATTGAATATTTTGTATAATTAGGCCCCCACATAAGCTTTACATATATATTTTTTCATATAATGAGTGCAACAATCGAACAAAAAAAATATTTGTTCACCCAAAATTGCACATATTCTTGGTCTAGTGATTTTCTTGCATTTATGTTATTAGTTCATAGTTATTTTAGTATTTTAAGCTATTTTTCGTGTGTTTGGAGGTCCAAAGGGCTAAAGTGGCAAGAAAGTGCATTTTGGAGCCTTTTGGAGCAGTTTTGGGCTTGAAATGGATAGCACATGCATGGAGCAAGGTGGATGGACGAATTTGAAGACCAAAACAGGCTAGGATTGTGCTGAAGTTATGAAGAAATTAATTCAAGAAAAGGAAGTAAAGAATGCAAGCAAGAAAGAAGGAATGTTAGCCAAAGTTACCTTATTTTGTCCTAAACTTTCCTAATCCTTCACCACTTAATTTCCAACTGCAAGGAAGATCTTTAATTAAATTAGGAGACTTAAATTCAGACCTAATTACATTCCTAAAAACCTCTTTCCTCTTCCTTGCCACACATTCCTCTTTCCTCTTCTCCTTTTCCCTTGTCGCGCAAGGGATCATCCTTTCCCTTACTTTCCTTGCCGCATATCCCTTTCCTTTTCTCTCTTGGGATTTTGATTTGTTACCCTTTTCTTGGAGGATTTGGAGTTTTAAACGCTTCTCAAATTAATTCACAGCCGTGCCCTTTCCTTCCCCTATAAATAAATGCCTTAGCCGCACCATCCACTCACCATCAACACATCCATTCACTACCATTCATACTTTCAGCCATTCTTTCGTACAATTCATCACTCAAACTTTCACCCAAACCTTGTGCCGCAGCAAAGAAGAAGAATGAGGACCCTTGGACATGCTGCCATTCAAGATTGGATTGCTGGAACGTTTTTAGGTGTAATCCATCCTTTGTCTCCAATGTTTAATTTAATTTATCTTTGTGTTGTGAACATGAGGAGCTAAACTCGTTTTAGCTAGGGGGAATTCAAAGCCATGAATATATTTTCAATATGAATTGATTACTTCCAGTTGTGATTCTATAAATTGTGAATGCAATTTACTTAATTGTTTGATTCAGAACTTATTCTTGTATGTTGATTAAGGGTGCACACTTAGTTTGCATGCATGAATTTGATACTACGATATAAGGGAGTTTCACATAATCGTTACGAACTTATATTCATAAGTAGTGGAGGTTGCTAGTCACAATCATGTTAAGTAGATTCCTGGCAGGAGTATCATGCTCATCATAGTTACAAATGTTTTGTGAATGCTTATGATTTTCACAAAGCTTAATGATATTTGATTGTATCTTTATTATACTGTTCATGTACGGAACTTTTGAAAAATAATTTGAGTTGCCGATGCGTTATAGGAAAATCTGAGGGTTAATTAGTGCTGTTCACGATTAATCTGGGGCGTTGAGGTTCATGGTTTATTGGAAAAGCAACTGGCAATCGATTTGTCTGCAAGTGTGTCATGTGTGGAGAAGGACCCTCTAGCTAGCTTATCATCCATCCAATTCACCAAATTCGTGCTAAACTTGTCTAAGTCTTTAATTTAAATTTGTCAAAAACCCAATCCCCTTTACTTTGTTGTGTCAAGTTAGTTAGAATCTGTCCAAATTGTGTTTTTAAGTGTTTTTAAGTGTTTTGAGTCAAGTTAAAATCAATTTTCGTCCAAATCACTCTCTAGTGTCTAGTTTGAGTCTACTTGATTGTTTTGTGCTGTTTTGAGTCTTTTTAGTTCGTTTTGAGTTCTTTGAGTCTAGTTAAGTGTTTTCAAGCATAGTTTTGTGTTTTTAAGTCAGTTTTAAGTAGATTAGCCATCCCTCCTAATCCTCGGTCTAGAACGATCCCTACTTACATCTTTACTACAATTGTCAATAAGAGGGTTTAATTTAAGTGTTAGTTTTTTTTCACATCATCTAGTAATATAATTTCTTCCTAAATCAAACAACTAGCCACTGGCCAGGAGACCTATCTCAATTTAATTCCTCTCATTTCGCTTACTAGTTTTTAAATTAGTAAATGAGCAATTCTTACATCTCTTCCTCTAAATTCATTTACAAATTTTATGCACGCCACAAGTGTAGTTAAAGATACTCACAAGCCGCATCAACCCAAAATTAAAAGACATAACCTGGGCCAATTACAAGACATAATCAATTGTCACTCAGTACTACAGTCTAGTGGTATTCCTCTAATTAGGTTCGAATCTTGTGGATGGCGAATTCGATACCAAATTAGGCTACCCATTGTGACACACCCCGACCGAAGTCGAAGCTTGCTGG